GAGAGAGAGAGAGAGAGAGAGAGAGAGAGAGAGAGAGAGAGAGAGAGAGAGAGAGAGAGAGGTGGAAATATGTAGAGAGATTCATGTAGAAAGAGACAGTGAGACAGGAAAAGACACGTCGGCGCCGTGAACGAAGGCTGGAGTTGGAGAGAAGGGGAGATACAGAGAGAGGGAAGGCATAGAAATGGCTTTAAAAAATAAAAGCAGTTAGTAAGAAAGAGAGAGAGAGAGAGAGAGAGAGAGAGAGAGAGAGAGAGAGAGAGAGAGAGAGAGAGAGAGAGAAACCCTCTATCCCTGAAACACCAACAACAAAGTTCACGAAAGTCCTGGCTCCTGAAACAGTCCCATCTAACTTCAGAGGGCGAGACCGTAGGAACATTGAGTAAATCGAAACTGCTCTACTTTGACAGGTGGACCTCTCGTGCTTGAGTCGCTACTCTAAGTCTATGAGGAGGGTGAGCAGAACCTCCTTCCTTATGACTCAAAACACTGATATGGTACACTCTAGGCCTACAGTAACACTTTCTTTAGTATCTTGCGTTGGTGGCGTTCCACTACTTCTTCTATTTTTATCTTTCAGAGTGGTTAGCCCGTACTGACCTCCAACTTGCGGTCAAGAGTCAGTAGACCACTCACAGGAGCAGGCACAATTGCGTAATGAAAGCAATAGTCCAAAAGCTCAATCGGCACAAAATTGATTATAATAATAATATGTGGGGCTTAGACTAAGCCTGGTACAGCAATACGTAAAAAATGTTTTTTGTTACAGTGGTAAGTTGTGGACACAGTAAGGATAAGAACAGCACGACTAAATGAATTATAATTCCCCCCACCAGGGCAGTGCATTGGAGCGTCTTTAGGCCATTCACAAAGGGGGGATATTAACATGTTTTTATGCACAGTAGAATTGTAAGTGGGCTGATTTATCAATGTCATGCTCATACTGTGCCGGAACACATAGGGGAAACTGCTGCTTTTTCTTTCTTCATCCTTACTATTGTCATTTTTCCTCTGCTTCTTTTGTATGTTTGTCTCTCTTTTGTGAACTGTTTTTTTCTCGGGGAGCCTTGATAGTCGAAGCAGACTTTGTGCTGCTGTGGCTAGAGAGGTGAACAGAGTAAGCCTGATTCCCCGTTTGTACTTCTCTCTCTCTCTCTCTGTTGACATCCACCCCTTGGCACTCATATGGCCTTATGCAGTTGCGAGCGCCGTAATACCTTACTAAAACTTAACTGAATTATAATTGTGTCATGTTGGTGAGGAAGGCTTCTCTTATTGTTATTGTCCACAACTCACCGAGGAAACAATTGCAACTGTTTTGTCTTGGTTGTTTGGAGTGGACCTTTTCCTCAGAGCCATAAACAAATAATTTAGTACTTGCCTATAAAACTGTGTTTAAGTGGCTTTCTTACTTAGTTATTTCTCGTCATATCTTTACCTCAGTTGGGTATTGCATTTTGCAGGCATGGTATTTCTGTCTCTTTTTTTTCGAGTAAAAAATAGTTCGAATAAATAATAAAGTATTATTCTCCTTCGAGATTTTGCTTTGATTTTGGTTATGGTTTGCTGTGCCCCATTTTCAGA